GCGCCACAGGCGTGCTCGGGACGCGGCAGGTTAATCCGTGGGGGGGGTCTTAGAAGAGCTCCCAGCCCCTGACGGCCCCAGGTAGGGGTGGCCGCTGTGTTCCTGCCTCGGCCGCATAATCAAATCGTCAGCCACAGGTGTGCCTGTTGCAGGGGGGCCCGAGGCCTCGGGCAGGGGAGTGGGGCCTCCTCCCGGCCGGCCAGGGTCTGGAGCTCTGGCAGGGCCGGGGGGCAAGGCTGTGGGTTCTCGAGCTGCAGGCCTGGCAGTCCAGTCGCTATTTTTAATCTGTTGCTCCTCTTTCTCAAAGAGGCCAAGTTCAAAGGAGCAAAACTCGGCCTTTTAAAGATAGGCTTGCACACCAGAGGCCGCCCAGAGGGGCTTCTGATGAAGGAAACAGCCGGCCCTGTGGCGAGGCACCTCTGCTCCTTCGTGCGGGCCTCCTGGGTCCTGAGTCCACCCTGGTGCGGGGCCCAGAACGCGGCTCAGGGAGCAGGACTGGCGGAGTGGGTGGGTAAGGGGTGAGGGGCTCTGACCGGACGGGGAGAAGACAGCTCGGTGTGCAGTGGCTCCCCCTGCCGCTTGGACCTGAGTCTGCTCCCAGAGGGCCCACCTTCTCCTCCAGGACTGCCCTCCGCTGCTGGGAGCTCCCTGGCCCCTGGGGCGGCCCATGGTCCAGCCGGAGCCCTTGTCGAGGTCGGCCCTGCCCCCTCCCTCTCCTGCGCATCCTCCCTCCCTCCCTCTGTCCCGATGCCTCCTGGGAGCAGGGAGGTCCCAGAGAAGCACCTGCACCCGATCCTCCCCATCAGCTCTGGGAACTGGACCTCAGCTGGGCTCCCACTGGCCGCCCCACCTTTGGCCGGAAAACTGCCGTTGTTCAGACATGGCCAGTGGGGACTTTGCGAAAATTCAGAACCCGTGTCCGGGGTCTCGCTCGGCCATCAGGGAGGAGGAGGAGGCTGCCCGGCAGACTAGCAGGATGACCCGGGGACGCTGGGACTGACATGATGGACAGCTGGTTTTAGGCGGGTCTTACGGTTCAATCTGACAAAGGTAATTGCTGGAGCTGGGGGAGCAAGCACCTTGAACAGGAACGTCTAACAGTATTAGTAAGTTAGCGCCCACTAATAATACCAGCATGAACGACAGCACAGGGGTTGGGGCCTCAGGTGGACACCCTCGTCTGACCCTCCACTATTATTACTGTTATTTCCACTTTGCAGATGACGTATGAGACCGTAAGTAGCTGGCTGAGGCCACACCATGCTACATGGTGGCTGGCCACACGGATCCTGACAAGGTGGCTGAGGGCCATGGGATGTGCGTGGCCCCACCCTGGAGGACGCAGGTGACAGCCAGGGTCTGAAAACTTCCTGTGCCCAACAGCTATCTTTTCCACGCCACGTCAAGGCCTCCTGTCGGAGCTGCAGTCACCCAGGCAGGGTGGGGCTGACAGGGACAGACACACAAGCAATGGATCAGAACAGGAGAACCCAGGAGAACCCGGGAATAAACCCACAAACAGGCCCCACTGATTTCTGCCAAAGGTACAAAAGCAGTTCAGTGGAAGAAAGACAGCCTTTCCAGCGAGCGGGGCAGGAGCACTTGGAAGTCCGCAAACAAAGAAATGAGCCCACACTTAAGTCTCGCACTTACACTGAAATTACACAAAGATTAACTCGGAACGGACCATGGACGAAACATACACTGTGAAACTATAAAGCCTTTAGAACAAAGCATAGAAGAACATCTTCAGGACCCAGGGCTTGGGGGCGAGCTCCTGACACCCAAGGCCAGCCCAGCAAAGGGAAGTGACAAACTGGCTTTCATCAAAATGAAAGAGTCTCGCTTCCAAAGACCCTGTGATGAAAACACAAGTCCCAGAGCGGGAGAAAGTATTTACAAATCACACGTCCGACGAAGAGCTTGTATCTCAAATAGATAAAGAATTCTCAAAACAGAGATGATCCCCTCGAGGGGGTGTACAGCAGACTGGGGGGACACAGAGCAGGGTGGCTACAAACATGGCGCTGCCGAAAGGATGGAGTTTGGAAAGGCAGGGGCGGTGTTTGCAAAGGGAACCGCGGGGCCCCCACCCAAGCAAAGCTCCCACGGTGGGAGGTTCGAATGCCAAAAATGACTTTAAAAAAAAAAGACATGCTTGACCTTCTGCTCTTTTTTGGAGAGTCCGATGGAGTCTCCAAGGGGCTCGCTGGCCCCTGGCCAGTTCCCATCCAGGATCTGGGGCAATGACCAGGAGGGCACAGGGGCTCTGGGGAGGGCCTGCAGCTGTGACTCCCAGCTTCAGGGGGCCCTGTCTGGGTGGGGACCACCGAAATCACCCAACCCACCAGCCACTGCTCCCACGTAGCTATTTAAATTCTAAGTACAATGAGAAGCTCGGCTCCTCAGCTGTGTCAGCCACGTTTGTGTGTGAGCCCATGCACTGCAGCAAAGCCAGAGAGGATTTCAGAAAACTGAGGGGGTCCTGGTGCTGGGAGAAGAATGCAGGGAGATGTGGGGTGGGACAGAGATCCCGCCCCAGGTGGCTTGCGGATGTCCCTGTGTGAACTACCCAAACTTTAGAAGGTTCCTACCCAGCTGAGTCAATATTTAACACATCTTTCCATTTGTTTTCCACTAGAACGTACATCTGAAACCCTTCATTAGCCGATCACGCTGGAGAATAATGACTAATTTCTGGCGGAAGTTTTTCCTTACCCCGCAAAGGCACTGTGGAAAACCCTTCCACTGTTGTAATTTACGGATGTAAGGGGGAAGAAATGGTGGAGACTGTTTCCAAGTCCCGGGAGTCCCCTGTCTGCTTCGTCTGGACGTCCTCTCCTCGCCCTGGACCAGAGCGGTCCGACGGCGGCTTCGTGCAGCTCCGTCCTGGGCTTTGCACAAAGAGGTGGCATCAAGTTCCCCTCTGAGGGCAGTTCTGGGACCAGAGATGGAGCCCGGGGGTCCCCGGGGGCTCCGAAGTCCGCCAACTTTTAGTGCGAACAGACCTGGACAGGCGTGGAGTGTAGCGGGAGTAAAGGCCTTCGCCCGCTCTGCCCACCCGCCCAGACTCCGCCCAGGCCCCAGGCCCCGCCCAGCGGCCTGAAGGCGGCGCCAATCTCCAGGCTTTAAGGCTTATCAGGATTTGGAGGACGAGCCACAGCAATTTGCTGCCTGTTATCCTAACGGGTAAAGGCAGCTACACCTTTGGGAAGACTATCTCTATCGATTTGTTTTAAAATAAGACAGGGGAGGTCTGATTTGTGAGACCCAGGATGGTCTTGAGGATAGAGGACCCAAGGCTTCTGTTAACAGGAAAGCCCCCGTCCCCGCCCCGACGCCCGCCCCCACCCACTCCTGGGAGAGCTGGCTGTTGGCAGCCTCATTCGTTTTCCTTGGCTTGCAGCTAATGTGGCCGCCCACCGCCTGCCCCTGCCCCTCAGGGGACTGCAGGGCCCAGTCGCCCAAGGTCCAGCAGGAACAATGTCACATGCCGTTCCCTCCGCTGACACCGGGCTGGCCTCACAATTCTGAGAGACAATCAATCGTAAAGGCAATTCATCTCGTTGAAGTAGCAGCCCCCTGAGACGGAGCTATGACAGCCTCGCTGGTGAGGAAGTGATGATAAATGTTTGCTTTTGCTGCTCCCCCATCCAGCCGGACACACGCTGACCCCTCCTCGGGTGCCGCGCTCCCGGAAGCCCTGTGTGCTGGGCCTCAGGTTGCCCAGACCTTCCCCAGGTCCTCCCAGGATGGGCACTGGCCCTGGAGCCGGGGTGGGGCAGCCACGACAAGGCAGGGCACCCGGTTACAGGGCATACGTTCACCCTGACAAGGAACACCTTTTACTGTGAGTGTGTTCCCAATGGTGCACGGGGCATACTTGCGCATAAAGGTAATTCCCTGTTTATCTGCCTTCAGAGGTAACCGGAGTCCTACGTTTTAGTGGCAAACTTCTGGCAGCCCCAGCTCCTCTCACCTAACCCAAGCTGCGCATTTGTCCCGAGGATACCCCCGGGCCCCAATCAGGAGACTGTGGGGCTATGCTTCTCAAACTCCGGCAAGTGCAGAAATCACATGGGGGGCTTGTCTGCCCAGACCCAGGGCCCCACCTGCAGCGCGTCTGAGTCAGCAGGTGTGGGTCGCAAGCTGTGTGTTTGTAAAGTGTCCCCAAGTGACGCTGCTGGTCCCTGAGCCGAGGTTCCTGCGTCTACCGGGGATTCTCACCCACACACACACCGAGGGGTCCAGGCTGCTTGCTGTACCTCCTCAGCCTTGAGTCTTGCCTTAGCTAAAGGGGAGAGGGCCGTGCCCACTTCTTGGTAGATATGGGATCCAGAGACTAGACACAATGAAGTGGTTATTATCATTCATGCTGGACAGGAGTCCATGGGAAGATGGCTCTTGGGTCGGCTTTGAGGGACCAAGGGTCTCAGCCACATGGCTCACCTCTTAGGGCTGGGGAGCCAGGCCCTCTCATGGGCTTCCTGCCATGCCTTGAGTCAAATCCTAAGTGTGCCAGGAGGCCTCGAATGGCAGGCCTTCTCTCTGACCTGCTCCCTGCCCCAGGACCTTTGCACATGCTCTCTCCTTCTCCGGCCTCCCTCCCAGCAATCACACCAAATCCAGCCCTTCTCTGCGTGCTGCTCCTTATCCCAAGTCAGCATTCAGCCTACATATCACCTCTGTAGAGGGGCCTTCCCTGATCTGCAGCTGCCGCCATGACTCTCAACGGCCCTCGGGTTTCCTTCCAATCCTTGGCTTCACTGCAATGGCTTCATTCACTAGTTTTAGTGCTTTTCTCTGTGTCCCTGTCTGGACTGTGAGCTCCGTAGAGCAGATGTCCCTGCTCCCTGGTGCATGCAGTAGGTGCTTGACAAATACTCGCTACAATAAACACATCAGTGATGAGTCCCGCGGTGCCATCACAGTGGTGGGGGCTGCGGGCCCTCCCCAGCAGTGGGGCCTCCCGCTCGCCGGCCCTGCCCGCCCAGGCTCACCTGGCTTGGAGCCCTCGTCCACGGAGCCGTTGTAGACCTGGTTGATGAACTCGGGGCGGTTGTCATTCATGTCGATGACGTAGATGTACAGGTCGATGGGGTTCTCCACCTTGTTGCCGTTCATGTCCACGGCGTGGGCGCGGAGCTGGAGCACGACACAGACTTGGTCAGGGCCGGTGGCCACCCCCGTGGGGATGCTCCTGACCCTCAGTGACCATCAGCCTCGGGGACGTGACAGCGTGTCGCCTCGGACCCACAGCACTGGGGTGAGGTTGGCACAGCTCCAGGGCCCTCAAGGGGCAGCCTGGGGAGGGTGGGGTGGGCTTCGGACACATTTCAAAACTTCTCTGAGCCTGGGTTCTCTCCTCTGTGGAAATGGGGAAGGTGGGTGAGAAGAGCCACACGGGGGCTGGAAGCTGACCCGAGAGCCCACACTGATGCCCACTCAGACCTGTCCCTGCACTGTTGACAATGGCGGTTCACGTCCACTGACAGCGGCTGCAGAAAAGCCACGGTGCCAACTAGGGGTAGGGGCTTAAACTCCTGCTGCCTTGAGGTCAGGCCTGGGGGAAACCCAGGGAGGAGATGTGGGGGGCCTTGAACTTGGGCACCCACCGTGAGTCCCCTCTGTAGGCCGTTCACGCCGCGGCGTGTCTGTCCTTAGGGGCAGCACAGAGGGGAGGGGTCCAGGGGCCCTGGGGTGGCAGCCCCCGCTCTGCACCTGGGAGCATCTCCAGGGCGGAGAGGGAAGATGCCCTCAACTTGGGCTGGAAGGCCCGGAGGGGCTGCTCAAACGCACCCCTGAAATTTTGGATTTTTTAAATTCGTTCATTCATTTATTCATTCACTCAGTCAGTGCTTATCAGGGCCCGCCTGTGCCCTGGGCTACTGCCCAGTGAAACTGGGGCCTGCCCGGGGGCTTCTCTGTAGAAGGGAAAGGCAGCAGAGGTGAAAAGGAAGCCTATACGATGTACTCTGTGTATATAATGTGTGCTGGGTGGGGCTGCAGCGACCCGCCGGGGTTGGGAGGATGCCAGGGGGGCCTCTCGGAAGAGGTGACATTGGAGCTGAGCCCTGAAGAAGGGGCCGAGAGGACAGCCAGCATGGGGCCTCTGTGGGGAACGCGGAGTGACTGAGCCCCTCAGGCAGCAGTCGGGGCAGGAGCAGGGCCCTCGGGGACCTGGGGTTTCGATGGGGAAACCGAGGCTTGGAGAGCGGAAGGGATCACCCGGGTCTCTCCAGGACAGAGCTGTGACTGTCATGCAGGCGTGTTCTAGCCCACATCTCTCTGTGGAAACCACATTGCCCTCCAGGCTGGACACACCAGACCTCAGGATCTCTGCCGTCAGACAGCGCCCAGCCAAGGGTGCCCAGAAGAGCCCGCGCTCCAGGCCTGCTGAGCGGGAGAGCGTCTGAGCTGGGGCCTCCGCACAGTCGTCCGTGCCGGCCGCCTTGCTGGCCTCCGGGGAAAGGAGGCTTGGTGTGAATCCGCACCTGCGGAAGGGGCCTTGGCCCGACAGCCCTGAGTGGAATTCACCCTTGAAATAGTGTGTTTGGGGGAAGCTCGAGGCTGGCTTTACGGAGGAGGCGACCTGCGTTGTTCCAGGGAGACAGATGAACACAGATTCCGGGGAACCGCAGCCATAGCGCAAGGTGCGGCTCTGCCCACCCACAGATAAGCTCGGCTTGGAGCTTTTTGTTTAAACATCTCAGGGTGCTGTGTGGTTGTTTCAACCAGCCACCTGCCCCATTGTCATCCGGTCCCCCGGTCCCGGGAACCCGGGTTGGCACACAGTCCTGCTGCGGGGGTCCTTCCCGCAGGCGGCCACGTGATCCTTCATCTCCTCAAAGGGCCATGCAATCATGCACCAAGCCAAAGGTCGAGAACGCTTTGGAAAAAAGTAATTCCAAGCTAAAATTAAAGTTATTATCTTCTAACTAAAGTGACACCCCTGGTTCAGGAGCTCTTTTTAGTGGCAGAAGCAGCCCCAGTGGAGATAAGGATGGAAAGTGGCTGGCGGGGCTCTCCTTGTCCCACGGCTGCCCCACCCCCTAAAGTGGAAACAACATTTGAAGCGTCTGTTGGAAATCTCGGAGAAAAGAGCCCACCCCACCCCAC